TTAAACCATGGGAACCCATTAAAAATGCTGCAAAAAACTAGGAAACCCACAGGGAACCCAGCTGACATGCTGCAAAAGCCAAAAGAGCCTGTTGGAAAACCATGGGAACCCACTTCAAATGCTGCAAAAACCCGGGAACCAAACAGAGAACCCACCGTATCGACTGTGAAAAACCATGGGAGCCCACTTAAAAATGCTGCAAAAACTAGGGAACCCACAGGGAACCCACCGTCCATGCTGCAAAAACCATGGGAATCTTCAAGACAGCTAAGTGAAGAACATACACAGACCACCCGAAATGCTGCAAAAAACCAGGGAAACCTTTTGTTGCCCACCTGAAGTGTTGCAAAAAACAAGGGAAAACCACAGAAATCCCACCGGTTGATTATTGTTAAAAACCATGTGAACCCACTAAAAATGCTGCAACAACCTTGGGAAACACAAAAGGGAACAAACCGTCCAGCTGCAAAAACCATGGGAATATACCAAGAAAAGCTAAAGAAGAACACACACAGACCCACCCGAAATGCTTGCACAAAAAAAAACAAGGGAACACATATGTAGCCCACCTGAAGGGCGCAAAAACAAGGGAACCCCCCCCCCCCCCCCACAGGGAACCCACCCCATCTGCTGCAAAAACCAAGGGAACCCCACTTACACACCCTTTGGGTAGTATAACACTATTAGAACGGTGGAAGGTCCCAGACATGCCGGAGTCAATCAAACTTAGTTGGCAGCTGAATATTATACCACCGGCTTTGTCCTAAGGGTGAATCATTTTGCCCGACTTGGCTCGTTCAGGTTCCCCGTCGGGATCCTCACCCTGCAGCATACAATTCTCGAATCAAATTGCGGCGGAAATCAGTAGAGTTGCCTGTCCTAGCTTCTTGCAACGGAACAATTCGGATTTCAGGATTTCCCTGCTGAGAGTTGCTATACCGTTAAAAAAAGACTACGGCGTCAGACTGCGACCTTGCAACAGGGCCAACAATTCAGAAAGCGATGATGAGCATGATATGACGGGCTCAAATTGTGCCATTCGGAAAAACCTGCTAGATGTCAAACAAAGAGTTTTGGCTGCCCACATGGACTACAGCAAGGCGCACTTACTCATCCTAAACCCTACACCCTACACCGCAACGCAACCACGTTTTGTGGCCTTCAGAAACAGAAGGCTGGGATTACGTCAAAGCAAGGCTTCGTCACTGACTAGCCGGAAAGTTTACCAGCTGCTCAGGCAACAGTTTGGGCAATGCTCATACATTCCCTGGCTCAGATGGCAGACCTCATTGCCAGATGGCAAACCCCACTCCGCAGAGTCATCGCTTTTAGTGCCGGGCTCAAAGCCCGTAAAACATTCGTGCCCTGCCTCAGACAAGGCTTGCACACTGCTGAACCGCTCACGCTCAACCGAAGACGAAGAAGTTACTAGCTGCCACGCAAAAGTTCGGGTCACAGCCAAGCTCTCTCACCCACTGCTTCGGCAGGGCTCGCACCGCTGACCACTCTCAGCGCCGGGCTCAAAGCCGTAAACATTCATTCCCTTGTAAAAGAAAGAGCGAAGCTTGGTCACTGCTCACCCGACACCGAAGAAGAATTTACGCGCTGCAGGCAGCCGTTCGTCGCAGCAAAGCTCACTCATTCACACTCACTGACTCACGTACTAAAAGCTGGCAGAGCTTAGTCACTGCTCAACAAATACTCGCTGCTGGGGCAACAGTTCAACACCAGAGAGGCGACAGCGAAGCTCACTGACCGCTGATCACTCTCAGTGCCGGGCTCAATGCGCGTTAAAACATTCACGCCATCGTGCGAGAAACGACAAGGGTTAATTACTGCGATTCAGAAAGCTGCCGTGCTACTGTTTTGGCCTGGGCAAGTTCAAACATCTACATTCGACGGGGCAGCAGACAGAACCATGCCTTGCAAAGTCGTTTTTGCTCTGCTTTCAGGATTAGTGACTCTACGCGCGCTTCTACCTGCTTTGGACGAAAGACAATCAAGACATCTTGTATACACGCAGACAATACCACACCTTTGCATCCTGACGCTCCTGTCGCAGGCGGGCCAGACGGGCGGACAAAGTCTCCTAGCAACAGGCAGACGAGGAAGGACCATTTATTTACGAAGGACGTTCTACACTCCTGCGGCAACTCCACTCTTTGAGGGGGAGGAACAGGAGGTTCTTCCACGTCGGACATCGTT